CCCCAAAACCCCAAAACCCCAAAACCCCAAAACCCCTCAGATAAAATCCCATATAGAATTTCCCTAAAATCCCAAAAGTCTCCTGTACCAGTAACGGTCACTCAAGAACCTGTCCATAAGAAGGAGCAAGTCTGTTTTCTGAGTGTATAATTCAGCAGTTTAAAGTGTGATAGGAAATATTTTTTTAAACTTGTAAATATCTCTTATGGACAATCTTATTCTATCTTCTAATTAGTGATTTAAACTAATTTAGCAGCAGTTTCATTTCCTTCATAAGGAGCAACCTTTACACTATTCGCGTTGAAGTCTTGTTTCGCAGAATCATTAGTGCCTGCGAATGGGGCGATAGGAGTGTACAGCATGTTCTGTTCTGGAGTCTGCCAATTTTCATCATATTGAACTCCATAAGCAGCAGGGTCATAAAACACTGGAACTGGTTGATAGTTGTGGTTGCCTGCATAAGGGTTTACAACTTGATAAGTTGGCTGCACAGCAGTTCCAGGCATCACGAATTGGGCCTGTGGCTGAGGATTTGCTGAGTAGTCTGTCTGGTTCATGAAAAGTTGATTCTTCATTTGCTCTTCTTGCTCTTTTTGTAACTTTTCAAGCCTGGAGGCTTCTTCTTTTTGCCTTTTCTCCATCTCATCTTTTCTTATTTTTTCCATCCTCCTCTTCTCTGCTAATTGTTCTTTCTGTCTCTTCTCTGCTGCTTTGATACAATGGGCAATCATGACAATGGCAAAGATAAGAACGAAGAAGCCTACAACTCAAACAATTGGAATGATCACACATGTGCTAGTTCCTGAGGTACAAGTCCCTGTTGATCTACTTCCAGATCTATAAGAAGTCCTTGAGCTTCTTCTATAGCTTCTTCCTCTACTGCTACTTCTAGCCATGGCTTCACTAAGGAGGAGGACTAGGATCAAGAGTACAATAACTCTGTACATAGTCTGTTTCATATTTTATTCTTTCAATAATTTTTGATTGATTGGGGTTTTGGGGTTTTGGGGTTTTGGGGTTTTGGGGTTTTGGGG